CTGAAGAAAAAAATTCAGCAGAACTTGCATTATTGAATTGCAAGCAATAAACTACCTATGACTTCGCCAAATGCAAACAACAAACTGAAAGGAAAAAAAAATCATCGTCATTAAAAACACCAACAAAAAAATTGTTTATGGAACACGTTGCAAACAGCCAAAACATTAAACAAAGTGTTTGTAAAATGTAACTTAAGACATACCTTACAAATTTTAAAACAGATGAATCGAATCTCAACACCAAACGCAATTCTCCAAACAACAAACGAAGTTAAACTAACCTGCAAACGGAAATTGCTAACAACAAACGATGGGAAAGTTCTACATACGAGAGACACAATGCGAATTTTGGCTAGAATTTTGGATTTTTTTTCTTTTTTTTAGGAGAGGGGAGGGGATGTTTGTTGTCATCTTTAATTCTTTCACCAAGAAATCATCTCATAATCTAAAAACATCCCTGTTTTTTTCCTTCTCTACAATATTTCTTCATAAAAAAAATAAATAAAAGAAAAAAAAAGAACAGAGAAGAATGAGAGAGAGAGGCGTGAGTGAGATAGAAAGGGAGAGAGATGGGAGATTAAATATATAGTTAGAGAAATGTAAGATTGGAGAGATGATATATGAGATTTATTTTCTTATTAATTGAGGGTGTTAATGCCTATATACTAATTATTTTATTTTATTTTATTTTATTTATATTATTTTTTTGGGTCAAAAAACCTATACCTATATTCATCTAGCAAGTAGGATATCTACCTATATAAGTCCAAAATAAGGTGTGTCTACCAAATTTAAAAAAAAAAAAAAAAAAAAAAAACACTTAAAGTTAATCAAAAGGGGAAACTACAGATAAATCCCTAATCCAAAACTCAAAACACAGATCAGTCCTTAGGTAGTTTCTCTAAGCAATTCAGTCCATATTCACGCGTCTGACATGCAGATCAGTCCCTAATGTGAATTTTATATATTTTATTATATTCTCTCTCTTCTTTTTCACTCTCACCATTTTCTCTCTCCTCCTTTTCTCTCTCTTCATTTTCTCTCTCTTCATCTTCTCTTTCTTTCTTCTCTTTCTTCATTTCTATCTGCTCTCTTTCTTCTCTATTTCTTCTCTCTTTCTCTCCTCTGGTTTCCTCTTTTTCCGACGAAAAAATCACTGTAAAACCCACCCACCCCACAATGGCTACAAATTATGTATCTAATGATGTACCCACTGTGATTCTTGGAAGTTGTCGATACAAGCATCTGATAATGAAGATGAGTGTGGTCGACACTGTCGTGATCCGCAAAGATGAAGCTAATTCGCGTGGAAAGAGGGTTCGCACCGATGGCTGGTAGGTCTCCATCTTTTTTTGTACTGCTGAAATGCATTTCTTTATGGCTGTTAATTATTGTGACACATAGTATAAAATATGGCACGTAATAGTATCATGCTAATATAAATATGGTATGGACGTATGGTACTTACAATACGTAATCGTTGTTCGTATAGTATGCGTGATAGGTAAATTTGGTACTGTTGGTGGGAAAACATAGTATCATATAATGGGGAAGATAGTACGTAACATTCATCTGAATAGTATGGGTGATAGGTAAATTTGGTACTATTGGTGGGAAAACATAGTATAATATAATGGGGAAGACAGTACGTAACCATTATTCGGATACGTACAAACAGGTATATCAATTCACGATTAACCCAATTCCCTCGTTTGATGAGGACTTTGACTTGTACGATGCGTGTAATGCTCCGCCCGATGTCTTTGTTAATGCAGCTGATTGAGAAATCGACCGGGACGTAGAAAGACAAAAAGAATTCATTCACAAGTGCAGTTCGGGTTTTACTGTTGCCCACACCATGGCTACTCCCATTGGTGTGAACCATTTGAAGTTGGACAAACTTTTTCCAACTCAAATCGTGAATAAAATGAAGCTACAAGTGCGTCGATGAACCAAGTCCATCGAGAAAGTGAAGTGAAGAATTGCAATTCTGAAGGTGGAGTAGTTCATAGTTTGATAGTGTTGAATCAAGTAATATTTGCAGTCTACATGCTATGTAAAACCTATGTACTGTTGTTTAATTAGTGAACATAAGAGTACAATGTATAAGCTGGTAAAGTTATAGTTATTCGTGAATATAGTACGCTTTGTTCACCAAATAAATACAATGTATAAGCTCGTAAAGTTCGGGTTATTCGTGAATATAGTACACTTTGTTCACCAAATAAGTACAATGTATAAGCTGGTAAAGTTCGGGTTATTCGTGAATATACTACGCTTTATTCACCAAATAAGTACAATGTATAAGCTGGTAAAATTTGGGTTATTCGTGAATATAGTACGTTTTATTCACCAAATAAGTACAATGTATAAGCTGGTAAAGTTTGGGTTATTCGTGAATAATAGTACGCTTTATTCACCAAATAAGTACAATGTATAAGCTGGTAAAGTTTGGGTTATTCGTGAATATAGTACGCTTTGTTCATCAAGTAAGTACAATGAATACACATGTGAAGTACAAGTGATTCGTGACTATAGTACGCTTTGTTCACTGATAAAGTATATGTTTGTCATTCATATAGTATTGTTACACTCTATATATTATTGTCGGGCCAATGCATCCATATGATCGCATTTGAAGACACAACTCTTCAGTTTAAGACTATTAAGATTGAATGGAGACAATGTGGGAGTTGATCAATATCGATTATGGTAACAATTGAGGAAAATATTAGTGTTACACTTGAGCATTGTAGGCTTGTATGAATATATTGTATAGTATATGAGTATCATGTATGAAATTCAACATATTTATGGGATCTTGTATTCCAAACGCAATAATAATGCTCACCTACCTTAAAATAATCATCTAAAACATAATTTATTCATTTCCCGTACTTATTGATCATTAAAGCGTCAATGAAATTGGTACAATTCAATTCATCAAAAAATATGGTATGGTTTGTTCATCAAGTAAGTACAATGAATACACATGTGAAGTACAAGTGATTTGTGACTATAGTACGCTTTGTTCACTGATAAAGTATATGTTTGCCATTCATATAGTATTGTTACACTCTATATATTATTTTCGGGCCAATGCATCCATATGATCGCATTTTAAGACACAAGTCTTCAGTTTAAGACTATTAAGAATGAACGGAGACAATGTGGGAGTTGATCAATATCGATTATGGTAACAATTGAGGAAAATATTAGTTTTACACTTGAGTATTATAGACTTGTATGAATATATTGTATAGTATATGAGTATCATGTATGAAATTCAACATATTTATGGGATCTTGTATTCCAAACGAAACAATAATGCTCACCTACCTTAAAATAATCATCTAAAACATAATTTATGCATCTCCCGTACTTATTGATCATTAAAGCGTCAATGAAATTGATAGAATTCAATTCATTAAAAAATATGGTACGCTTTGTTCATCAAGTAAGTATGATGAATACACATGTGAAGTACAAGTGATTCGTGACTATAGTACGCTTTGTTCACTGATAAAGTATATGTTTGCCATTCATATAGTATTGTTACACTCTATATATTATTTTCGGGCCAATACATCCATATGATCGCATCTTAAGACACAACACTTCAGTTTAAGACTATTAAGAATGAATGGAGACAATGTTGGAGTTGATCAATATCGATTATGGTAACAATTGAGGAAAATATTAGTTTTACACTTGAGCATTATTGACTTGTATGAATATATTGTATAGTATATGAATATCATGTATGAAATTCAACATATTTATGGGATCTATCAAACTTATACTTCCAGTACCATGTGTCAATACCATCCAAAGTCACTAGCAATGCCATTCAAAGGCATTAGCAATACTATTGTGGCATATGACACATACTACAGAACCATCAAAGACTATACTTTCAGTACCCTGTATTAATACCGTCCGAAGTCAAGAGCAATATCATTATTACATATGACATATCCCTTGTTGGGACTAAATGCTTTCGGGACAGTACTTCGAGTACCCTGTGTCAATACCATCTAAATGCACTATTAACACCATTACTGGGCATGACACATACTATAGAACCAGTACGAAAAATACAATAAGCCTCTTTCCCATATCCTATATGAAACCCTTGTTAGGACTCAAAATGCTTTGGGGACATGCTAATGTCACCGAAGAATAATACCCATGAGAAAACTATTACAAAATCATGAAATTCGACATTAAATAAATGATATTTGCAAACCCAAACAACAGAACAACATATATTGGAACCGATTTAATGATTAGGGGAAACACCGAATAAAGTCGAGGCATAATACCCATGAGTTGATATGTTCAAAATCATGCAATTCTATAACAAATAAACCTTTTGCAAGCTCAAGCAACACCCAAATGGGTCTGTTTCCAAGAAAATGAAAAAAAAAATAAAAAATCAAACCTTGTTGTTTACCCTGCTTCACCATTGTCTATAAATGGGTTTGTTTATTTTTATTTTTCCTTTCGCTTTATTATTTTTCTACGTTTTGTTGATTCTTCGTGCTTCGTAATTTCTTCGTTCTTTGTTGTTTCTTTGTTCTTCGTTTCTTTGTTCTTCGTTTCTTCTCTGTTTCTTCTTGGTCTGAAAATGAGTATAAACTGAACGATGGTTTTTTTCTTCGCCGTTTTAGCTTCTTTTTTGTTGTTTGATTTTTGAAATGTAACGGGCAAAGAGCGTGTAATACAAACGGCGCGTTGGAAGTTGAAAAGAAGTTATGTAAAATTAGTATAAAGTAAAGGGTATTTTAGTATTTGCACATTTTATTAGGGACTGATCTGCATGTTAGGCACGTGAGTAGGGACTGAATTGCTTGGGGAAACTACCTAGGGACTGATCTGTGTTTTGAGTTTTGGATTAGGAATTTATCTGTAGTTTCCCCGATTAAAACGAGCTATTAAAAATTTTCAAAAATAAAAAAAAAAAGTTTAAAAATGCTTACAACGTGGATTTATTAGTTTTCCCAAAAGCAGAAACAAAAACCACATGGTGTACCAAATTCTTTCAAATTGAGCGAAGCTAAAAAAGAAAAAAAATATCTCGGCGGTATTTCCTGATTTCTCGTGTGTCGGCGAAAATGGGGTCACTCGGCGCGAGTGGAAATGGGGGGCTATGGGGGTTAGGTCCATTTCACGACAACATTCACAGAAGGCGTGACAAGAAGCGGAACAAAGAATCCAATCCGTCGAGCTCTAAGAACGCCGCCGCCGGCGAATTTTCCACCGCCGCCTCATACCGTTTCCCGCTCAAGCAAGCCGCCACCGCCGCCTCCCTTGTTTTAACCGGCGACACCATCGCCCAGCTCCGTCAGAGATGGCTGAAGAACAAAGACTCTGTCCGCCATTCTCAAGATCTCAAGGTAACTAACACTCTTTCTCTCTCTAGTTGTGTGGTTTCCTTTGTTTACACATTTGGCCTTTTTAATTATTGAATTGAAGCTGAGATTTTTTTATTTTAATTTTAATTTTTATTATTATATTGTTGGGTTATTTGTTGCTATTATGAATAGTGAGAATGTTACATACATTTGTTGCTATTATGAACTGGTATTATAATTTATAACCCCCGTTTAATACATAAAATTTCTCGAGTTCGACTGAAATTTATGTCTGCCCTTGCCCCTTGGTTACATCGTTATCTACTTTCACGGGCTACCGATTAGCTTGCTAAATTTTGTTTTATCTTCACGGGATCGACTTGGCTAGAAGTGTACGCCATTTGTACTAACACGAGAAGTTTAATGAATAACGATACTATTTGAGAGTAGAAATGTAATAAACATAGCCGAAACAAAACAAAACATATTCTATGTTGTCTTAATTTTGGTGCAATGTCAATCGTGTTATACCATGTTTTTCGAGAATTTTAAACTAATCCCTGAATTAATAACTATCACATAGATATGGCCTAAGGCCTCGTTTGGTTGGAGAGATTAGCTATGATTAACTAAATAATGGGACTTTGTTTGATGTTTGGTATCCCCAATAACCTGCCGGGTCGACCCGCAAATATTATGTTCTCATGCCTTATCTTGCCTTTCAGGCATGTTTTTTTATTGGATCTTCCAAGGTCCAATAATACAATTGGGTTTTATTAGATTAGTTAATTTTATCTTGGCTAATCTTATCTATGCAACCAAACGAGGCATTATACAAAGAAAATAGTTGCTGATGTTAGACCTTGTTTTACGGTGGATTTATATTTTGTAATTAGCTTGATTCTATCTCTAAACTACCCAACCAGATTAAATTCAGGGCCCTATTGGAAATAAATAAATAAATAATAAAAATAAATACTCGTGGTAGGATATTGCAAGCTCGCTTTTGTGCGAACATGATTGGATGAGAGCGCTTCGGATGACATCATACGGATTATTGCTGTATGGACCTGGTTCGTATGCATGGTACCAATACCTCGATCATTGCATGCCGAAGCAAAATGCTCAGAATCTCGTGACCAAGGTAATAAATATTATTACAAGGCTCGTGTTTTTGTTTTTTTTTTTTTTTTTTTATAACTTTTGAATGAATTTTTGGGACTCGTGTATATTTGTTTCGCAGGTTGTGTTAAATCAAATTGTACTAGGCCCGACTGTAATAGGTATTATTTTTGCATGGAACAATCTATGGCAAGGGAAACTTTCCGAGCTTCCTAATAAATACAAAAACGATGCACTGCCGACCCTATTGACTGGTAAAATCGATTTAATTTGGTTTTGTTTGAGTTAGTATTGTTTTTTACTTTCGATGTGAATTGGATTATATTATTTTACTATTCAATTTCGGTGCAGGGTTTCGATTCTGGATTCCAGTCAGCATACTGAACTTTGGGTATGTTACTCTTCTCTCGTCTGCTCCCAAAAGTATGACAAAACAATTAACTATGAAGAAAACAAGTGTTTGTTCTTTTTGAAATGTTTTCACCGAACCCGATTGCTGAGTTTGCTTATTGTAGTTTAATCATAGCTTTGCTGAGTTTGCTAATCTTGATTTAATCATGGCTTTCAATTTTGAAAATGCATAGCACTTAGGAAAATGAAAGACGAGCATTTTTTTTCTCGTTTTTTTTAGTCACGTTCTTGAGAAATTCAACATAAAAAAATGCTCGATATCCAGCACGAAGAGGATTCTCTAGTGCTGTACTTTCTCAATAGAAATTTCTTCTTGAAATATGCATTTTAGTTTGTTAACATTTTAGAAAAGATAATGGGCTAAGGCCTCGTTTGGTTGTCAAGGTAAGATTAAATATTCTGATGAAAATTCAATTATTTATCGGACCCCAGAACATTCAACAAAAAAGGCTCCTTAAGAGGCAAGATACAGCAAGATAAGCCATGATAATATAATATTTGCAACCAAACAAAGTCCAATTATTTAATTAATAATAGCCAATCTCCCCAACCGAACGCGGCCTAAAAGTGTTAAATTACAGGTTGGTCCCTCTTCAAGCACGTGTAGCTTTCATGTCAATGAGTTCTATATTCTGGAACTTTTACTTGTCTTCGACCATGAGCAGATGATCTCAATGAAAAGCTTAAGCATCAGGTATTTTTTTTATTTTACAGTTATCTCCATCTCATTATACGCAATGTCGTCGTCTTTTTTACTCTTTCTTCCCTTCCTTTGATTCCGACTTTCTTTTCATTAGGGATTGAAGTAATCAGCGTCTGGAAAACTGGTAAACTGGGCAGGATTACATGCACCATTATATTGAGGCTTCTTCTCAACAAATACATTTTAAGTACGTGTAAACTTCAATTTGTTTATTTTCGAAACCATCTCGAGGCTGTGCTTCTGATTATACTGATTTTTTTAAAGAGATGATTTTTATTTAGACTAAATTACTTATAAATGAAAAGTAAAACCCGTTTGAATGCATCGCATTTTGCATTGTTCATTGTTTGTTTGCTTTGGTGGTTATCGATTACGGATTGATTGCAGGAATAATGTAGGGTGAGCTTGTATAATTTTTATAAAGTACTTGTAAAAAAAATTATTTGACTGAAGTTGTATTGCATAAGATACCTGTTGGTGCAATCAAGTTTGATTAAGAGATGGAAATTGTGTGCAAATTGATGATTTAGAAACTACTTTTCAGTCTACAATGAAAAACACAATCTGAATGAGGGGGTTTGTAATATTTTTAAAATATGAGGGGTGTTTTTGTAATTAAATCTAATCTCAGGGAGGACAATGTAATTTACTCACTATTTGGTCAAGGCTAAAAATACGATCCTAATATAATCTAGTTTTTAATAAGGGTTCATTACAAATAAGTCCATCAATGTGTACTTATTAGTTATTCATTAAGAGATTCAGACAAAAAACTCATTTATCAATAAGTGCATATATGGTTCAGATTTTTGTAAATGACTAAAATAACCCCTTATACTTTAATATGCTTCAATTTCATCCTTAACTTAATTTAACCTCAATTTGACCTCAAATTTCATAAATTTATTTAAATCACTATTTTGAAACCATCAAAGTCATTATTCCCCTACATAAAACACCATAAATTTCTTTAATTTTATATTAAACAGAAGTTTTACGGCGGTCATATTTTATACTATATAAAAGGGGCTTTTGTAGCTTTGTAAAAATATGAGAGTAAAGAGAAAATTATATTTCTTAAGATCATATATCCTCTATATTATATACACATATGTTGAGCTCTTGTTGTATGTCGGGTGTCAAGCTTCTATTTCATTTGAACGTGCAATTTCGATGAAATTACAGCGAAGAGATAGGCTAGGCTGTTGTATTCCATAGGCGACACAATCAGAACCTTTTTGCACCTCATTAGAGAAGGGGTTGTGAAATTCGTCTTAAGAGAGCGACCTAGTCCGCACCTCACCTTGCCCATCTTCATATTATCGTGGTTTTTATCGCAGCAACTTGTTACTTATAAAATTAGAGAAAAAATGGAGTCCAAGCTTCAATCCACAAGTTTCGTGATCAATCGTCAAATTGCAGCCGTGGTTCCAACAATTTAAAACGAACATTCAATCCCATGAAGATGAGCTTTGACGAAGACCCAAAATAAGCGGATACTTCAACCCGTGAGGATGAAGGGAGATGATTCATTTTATTTTATTATTATCATCTTGTGTTGACGAAACAAAATTAATAATCTTGTTGTAGGTGAATTTTGTGCAATTCACGAGTTTATACTTTGAAGCACGTTTCGGACCTGATAATGCCCGAATTTGAGAAAGTATAAAACATGAAAGTTAGAATTCACTGTGTTGGCAGTTTAGAATTCACTGTGTTGGCAGTTTATGAACCATGCATGAGTTATAAATTTTATATTATGAGGGTTACTTTCTTATTTAAACCATGCATGAGTTATAAATTTTGGCTAACGTTTAAACATTTATGCCAAGAAATTTGCATGTGCTTATCGGTTTTAAAACGTTACTGCACTCATTTAAATATTTAATTTGTGTCCATTGGACTGATTGACAAAATTTGTATTACTTGCCTATGAGTTCAATTTCTTGTGGGTATTATAACATGGACCGTACCACATAAGTTTTTAAAATTTTGGAGAATATTTATATTCAATCATGAGATAATTTTAAGCTAAAAAATATTTGTGAAACTGATCGAGAAATAGTGCGGTAATAGTAATAATTAGTTTTAATTGAGAAAATGAGCATGGCCATAGTTGATATATTATATCCTATTTTTAATTCCTGGTCATGAGTAGATGTATGTACGTGTTTAAACATCTTATGTGTTGATCAATATGTTTTTTTTGAGAAATAGTGGGGGTTCTAGTGTCTATCTATGTGAGCTTTTTGTGTGATCCATATTTAATTGCTTATTTTATAATCGCAAATATGTGAACAATTCGAGTAATATTGTTGTGGTGGATTATTTGCAATCTTCATTATGCAAGTAACTATTATAGACCTAAATTTACATATATGTGATATTGAAATTATTTATAAATGCCTAATTGTGATTATTAAATTTGAAAAAAAAATATATTTGTGATTTGTGAAGTGAAATATTTTTCAAAGTTTTTTAATATTGTTAATTATTGAAAATCTAAAGAAGAGGAATTATATTCCAATTTTTTCACCTTGTGTGAACAAGCTATATGCCGATAATTTAAATATCAAAATTCATATCAATTTTGATTGATTATTTTGACATTAACCTGCGAAGAGGTCTATTAGTGCCTAATGTGATATATAAAATCCCAATGTGGGACAAACCAATGCTTTGTGCTTTGGTGAATTTATTGTGAAATATCAATGCTTTGTGTATTGAAAGATGTGATGGAGAAACTGCAGTTGGCAAACTGTACCATTAAAAGAGAATACAGTACTGTGAAAATCACTGTGATATATATGTGATGTTACATGTCAAATTGCATGTAAAATTATTTGAGATATTATAAGAATTCATTGAACGATTGAGTCCATAAGACTAAATGTTAGATAAACGCTATTGAATTTGTGAAATTATATTTCACATTATTTCAGAAATCATCTGAAATGCATTGAGGGGATTGGATTAAAGCCTAAAAATATTCGAAAAGTTGTTGATGAGGATACAACCGCCTAGGGACTGGAGATCCCAAGAACTAGGTCGGACACCAACGATCTGAAAGCAACTTAATAGGATTAAAGTGCACGCTTTTATTATCCATCCCTATGGTGCGTGTGCACTAATAAAGCTCGTAACAAATTGTGAGGTTGAGACTTTGATCTCTTAATGAATTTCTATAGCTCGTATGGGTGGGATGTTGGAGTTACGTAAACATCCTTGATCGAATTCACCTTGTGAGTGTGGAAGTGGGGCCGCTTCCTATGAGAATTATAGATTATTCTCTAGAGCTCTCACGAGAAATGGGGTAAAGCACAAGGCCGTTAACGTGCTAGTATTAGAAGTTTCGATCGGGACACTTTGAGTATTATATGATTCTATGTGCCCCAAGGGTCACTGTTTGAAGGTTAAGTCCACTTTGATTCTAGTACGGGAAATATATTGTACTAAGTGACGGTTTGAAGGCATTGTCCCTTTTTATTATGAATAATATTCCGCAAGAGCTCAAGTATATTTATATTCTTATTTTTATTAAAATAAGTGGGGGATTGTAGGGTTATTTTAATAAAAATAATATATTTTATTATATATAAAATAAAATATTGGTTTTGACCACTTTTATGAGGTAAAATACCACTATTTTGAAACCATCAATACCATTATTCCCCTACATAAAACACCATAAATTTCTTTAATTCTATATTAAATAGAGGTTTTATGGTGGTCATATTTTATATTATATAAAAGGGGCTTTTGTAGCTTTGTAAAAGTATGAGAGTAGAGAGAAAATTATATTTCTTAAGATCATATATCCTTTATATTATATACACATATGTTGAGCTCTTGTTGTGTGTCAGGTGTAAACTTCTACTTCACTTGAACGTCCAGTTTCAGTGAAGTTACAATGGAGAGATAGGCCGGACTGTTGTATCCCATAGGCGACACGATCATAACCTTTTTGCACCTCATTAGAGAATGGGTCGTGAAATTCGTCTTAAGAGAGCGACTTATTCCGCGGCTCACCTTGCCTATCTTCATATTATCGTGGTTTTTGTTGCAGAAACTTGTTACCTATAAAATTAGAGAACAAATATAATGGAGTCCAAGCCTCAATCCAGAAGTTTTGTGATCAATCGTCAAATTGCAGCCGTAGTTCCAACATAAACTTATAACAATATTTGTTGTTTATTCAATTCGACTTGAATCAATGTTAGAGTAAGAGTGGAAATTGTGCAGGATTTGAGAGTTTACATCAAAACTTTTCAGACGCCCGTAAAATTTGGATTCGAGACCAACTCTATTTAAAGAGAAACGATGGCACAATCAATACATCATGCGACTTTTGCTTGGGTATACATCATATTTTGGTTACTCAACACTATTTAGGTCCCTGAATTGTTTTAATTTTTTAGAACATAATAATAACATTTTTAGAAAACTCGGATTGCAATTCCACAACTTATGTTCCTCTTTATAGTTCCGAGTGCTACCAAAATTAGCTGTTAACTTATTTAGTGTGTATGTTTAAGTGTGTTTGTGTATTTGTATGATTATTTTTGTGTGTGTATTGCTATGTTTGTTCGTGTGTAATAACATCATCTCTTCGTGTAATAGTTTACAAATCACACACGAAATACAAAATATACTAGACATAAACAATGGGTCTTCTTTCTATGCCAACTAGACAAATGGGGGCATTTTAGACTCTTTAACTTTTCGATATGTTGCATATTGAAGTTAATGGGTTTTGTTGTAAATCAGCCTCTTCGATCTATTCTTTGGTTTGATGATCGTGAAATAATGTAGTGGAATATAACATAAATACAAATACCGTGGTTATCGGATCGTAAAAATATCTCGTTTCGTTTTGCTCCACATCTCGTACCGTATCGTTATCGTATCGTATCGTAAGATATTTAATCAACCATTAAAATAGTAAAAAATATATATCTATATTATAAAAATATTATAAACATGTGAAATTTAGTACAACTATTTCTTTCGAAATAGATATAAACTCAAGTTTCAACATCATATTATAAAATATGACAAAAATCATAATTATTTATCAAATAACATCATCTAAGAGGGTGTTTGGCTAGGCTTATAAGATGTTAACAATAACTTATAAGATGTTTAAGAGCTTATAAGCGATTCCAATGTATTAGGTAATTTTTTTTTAAAGATCTTAAAAATTCAAAATATTATAAGCTGCTGGAGGAGAGCAAATTTTTTTTTTAAAGTACATTTACCCCGCCTATTTATTTAAGATCTTATAAAGAGTAAAAATAATTTATAAGATCATTATCCAAACACTTGAAAAAAAAATTTATAAGTAAGATGTAACAACTTATCAGCTCTTAAAACATCTTATCAGTTGTTTAAAAAGAAGCTTAACCAAATGGGCCTAAGTACAAATTCAAATAACTAATTTCTAAAATATTCGATCTCTCATAATTTTGAAGATCAATGTCACTTAAGTCATCCTGATCTACCAATTTTAAACGATTCATCATTGCAATCGCAAAACTCAGTAAAAAGGCCTTGAATTGGTCTTGAATTGTAAGTATCCATATATATATATATATATATATATATATATTGAATTAGGGTTGCGATATTATGAAGATTGGTGAAGAAATTTGAAGAGAAAGTGTGAAATAGGATTGGGATATTGAAAAAAAATATTCAAAACCGTTTTTCAGAGCAGTTGATTGCATTTCTTCCTTTTTTTTTTTTCTTTTTTTTTAATTGTCGACTAATATCGTAAATATCGTATCGTATCGTGATACGGCGATACGTTACGATATCTCGCGATATTTGACGGTATTTATCAATAAGCGATACAGAGCCCGAGTTGTATCGTTTTGATTAGAACCGTACCGTATCGCGATATATATCGCGGTATATCGCGAGATTAACTACCATGACAAATACAAAAAGAAATAGAGAGAAAGTTTAAAGAACAACAAGATTCGTAGAGAGAAAATTGTGGGATTAGATGGAGAGGAAGGTTTTCTCATTAGTATAGGATAAAACCACTAAATAGAAGTTACAAGAGGTTACAATAGTGGGAAGTTATAATATAATGGAAAGTTATAAAGTTAATAAATTTTTTTCAACATGGTTAAATATAGGAATATCCGTAACATTTATAGTATTTACAACACCCCCTTGGGGATTCCTATCAAGTTACTATTGTGCCTTTTGTGTTGTCTCGTTAAAAGTTTCCGAGTAATAAAATCAAATAGAAAAAAAAACAACATCGGTTAGAGATAAAAGTACAACGCACAATCTATTCAACCAACATATGTTGCTTCGTTAAAACATTGATGAGTAACAAAAACCACGTGGGGAATATAAACCTCCCACGAAGGAAAAAAGAGTACAATATAGCACCCCTGGTTATCTTCTGGATAGACTCCCCTTCAAGTTAACTCCATCTGTTCGGATAATCTACGCAAGTCAATAGCCTAAACATGCTTCTCACAAGTGACTTTAGGTAAAACCTTAGTAAATAAGTTAGAAGTTATCCCGGATCATGATTTGTTGGACCATTATTGTGTACGCTCTGTTGCTGATTGAAGAAATCTCAAAACTATGTGTTTGAAGTTGTCACATTTAATGACTTTGCCTTCATTTGCTCAATAATTCTTTAGAAGTTGGGATTAAGGTGTTTGGTTATAAGTATAGTTAAATGTAGTTAAAAAAAATACAAAATCAACTAATAAAGGCCAACCGGTAACTTCAAGTGGTTAGGGAGTAAAGTATAAGTGAAAGGACGAGTTCACCGTCTAAAGTACTCCCTCCGTCCCATATTATATGTTGTTTTGGGTGGTTGTGCGTATATTAAAATATTCAATAAATATGCATAAATTATGCACAATATTATAACATAGTAAATATGAAAATACCCTTGTTATTAAATTTTTTAGTTAATTAATTAAGAATGATAAATGGCCAAAATTGATAAAATACAATTAATGCTTTATTGAAACTCTAAAATAAAAAATAATTAGGGACAAAGAAAACAACCCAAAAAGATATACAATTAAACCTCTATAAATTAATACTGTTGGGACCATCAAAATTTCATTAATTTAGCGAAATATTAACTTATCGATAAATTAATAATTATTAATTTATACATTAATTAATAAATTATTAATTTATGAAATTACTTTTATTATTATTTTCAATAAATACATTTTTTTTTTAATTTTTTACGTGTATATTATTCATTGTACCATTAGTTCAATACATTATAGAGCCCGTTTCACGAACGAAAGCTCTTAAAGCAACAATGGTATAGAATGATTTTATGTTGAGTTGTGACAAAACAATACCGAAAGTTCTAACCATGTTAAGAAAAGGGAAGGACGAGATTGATGGTAATGTGAACTTCAACAAGAAACAAGCAACAATTAAATTATATTATATTAAACTTTCATAGATCTATAAAATATGTATTATACCATGTAATTTAAGAATTATTTTTATGCATTATTAATTTATATATTATATGGGGCTTCTTAAATTTTTCGAATGTTTATTATCTTATAAATTTAGCGAATTATTAATTCAGCACGTTGTCCTCGAATCGGGACCAGAAAAATTTATTATTTAAGCGAGGATATTAATTTATCGGGTATTAATTTATCGAGGTTCTACTGTATAATAAGGGAAATAAGTAATAGTATACTATTGGAGGAGTAAACTGCAAATACTACCCCTGTGTTATCTCGAAATAGCAGAAACCCCCCTGTGATAAATAAACTAGCAAAAACCCCCCTGTGAAATTTAGTCAAAGGCAGAATCCCCCCTAGCTGATTTTTTAGACTTGAAATGACAAAATTGTCCCTCAAAATGTATTTATATATATACATATTATATGTATATTTATTCTTTTTAATTTATTTGTTTAGAAATTAAAAAAAATAGTAAACAACTAAATTGATTATTTTTTCAATAAAATAATTAAAATATTTATAAAATATAAGAATTTATTAATTGCAAGACTCCATGGGTATTTGTGTCTTTTTATATCAAGTCAACCCTCAAATAGTTCCATAGGGGGGTTTTTGCTATTTAAATAATTTCACAGGGAAGGTTTTTGCTAGTTTATTTATCATAGGGGGGTTTTTGCTATTTCGAGATTACACAGGGGTAGTTTTTGCAGTTTACTCACTATTGGAGACATATTAGTATATGGAGCTAGGCAAAATGGATTTAGGAGCAAAAACCCCTTAAAAATAAAATAATAATAATAATAATAATAATAGAATTTTCACCTGAATTCAAAGGAGGATTGGCAGCCATAAATTCATTTACGGCTCCAAACATACTACATCGTATCGAACTCTTCACACTCCTTTATCAAAAGTCAAATGACGTCTATAACTTTAAATTCACACAAAACTCACACACACAAATGCAAGTTCTCCACATAAATTCAAAAACTTGAAAAATAAGAATACAAAAAAAAAAAAAAAAAAAATGAAAAATTTATTTATTAAATAAAAAATGGCCAAAATCTCAAATAGAGGAAAGGACAAAAAGACCTAGGACAAAGCAAAGAGGAAAGGGTAGACCAATCAGTTACAGAAAACATGCCACGTACGATGTATCTAAACCACATCCATTCCCTCTAAATCACCCACCCCTTCTCCCCAATCAATCCCCCATTATCAATCAGTTCTCCAGAATCACCTCTGTATTCCAAGTAAGTCTTTTCTTTTTCTTGCTGTTAGAAATTCCAACACTTTTTGTTTTTTTAATGCGCACAGTTCTTTTTAACTGGGTTGTGTTGCTTAAATTTATTTGATTATATGATTTTTTTCTTTGGTGAATTTGACTAAAATCTGTTGTTTCTTTTAAATTGAAATATCAATTGATATGTTAATCAACTGGGTTCACGTATTTTCTTCCCGTAATTGAAATAGCAGTAATTGATTTCGAGTTACGACCCTAGTAGAAATTTTTCGCATTTTTGTTGTGTTGTAATGTAATTCAAGCAAGGATTGTTGGCCGATGAATGAATATTCCCTCTTAATTTACTGATAAGATTGTGTTTTTTTACTTGAATTGAATTTTAATTTGTGTGAGTTCGTTACTGAAGTCTATGTGTTTGCTATAATGCCTCAGAGAAGAAAACATGGCGGCTTCATCAGCATGTGTAGTGGTGGTAGGGAACAATATTCCGAGCAGCGAAATCCGAGGCAGACAATTCATCCAAACATCGCCACGCCTTCCGTCATTGAACAAAACATCCAAAACAGTTAAAGTAAGAGCATCTCTCGAGCAGAGCTCAACCGAAGGAAGGAGAGGCTTCCTCAAATTATTGGCTGCACCCGCCGCCCTAATACTATCCAACGGCAAAGCAGCACTCGCAGCGGACGAACAAGATGTTTCGAATTCAAGAATGTCGTATTCAAGATTCTTGGAGTACCTCGATAAGGACAGGGTTAAAAAAGTTGATCTATTCGAAAACGGCACAATTGCGATCGTGGAAGCCGTTTCACCTGAATTGGGAAACCGTGTACAGAGAGTGCGCGTGCAGCTACCCGGTCTAAGCCAAGAGCTTCTTCAAAAGTTTCGTGAGAAAAACATCGACTTTGCCGCACACAATGCTCAAGAAGACTCCGGATCTGTATTATTCAACTTAATCGGAAATTTGGCATTCCCTATGCTTCTCATCGGCGGTCTTTTCCTACTCTCGAGAAGGTCGCCAGGTGGAATGGGCGGGCCAGGTGGGCCCGGTTTTCCATTAGGTATCGGCCAATCGAAGGCGAAGTTCCAAATGGAGCCCAATACCGGAGTGACGTTCGATGACGTGGCGGGTGTGGACGAGGCGAAGCAGGATTTCATGGAGGTGGTTGAGTTCTTGAAAAAGCCGGAGAGGTTTACAGCTGTGGGTGCACGTATACCGAAGGGGGTGCTTCTGATTGGCCCCCCAGGTACCGGAAAGACCCTTTTGGCTAAAGCTATTGCGGGCGAAGCTGGTGTTCCGTTTTTCTCGATTTCCGGTTCGGAGTTTGTTGAGATGTTTGTCGGAGTCGGTGCTTCGAGGGTTCGTGATCTTTTCAAGAAGGCAAAGGAGAATGCTCCTTGTATTGTGTTTGTGGATGAAATTGATGCTGTGGGGAGGCAGAGAGGGACTGGTATTGGTGGTGGAAACGACGAAAGGGAGCAGACGTTGAACCAGCTCTTAACTGAGATGGATGGCTTTGAAGGGAACACGGGTATTATTGTAATTGCAGCTACTAACCGAGCCGATATTCTTGATTCTGCTTTGTTGAGGCCTGGAAGGTTCGATAGACAGGTAAAATTAAATAAGCACTTAGTACCAACTTAACTCAAATCACTAACTTCTCCTTGTGATTATGCTTCTCTAAAAATAAGCTGCTTTAAGCCGTAATTGGAGACGCCCCTTAGGAGCTGCTTCTCCAATTTAAAAGCACTTACGTAATTAATTAGTAAATGAATTTGACATTTTTATCCTTATTCAAATTTCACTCATTAGGACAATATAGACATTTCACCAAAATAAAGTAAAAAATAAAGTTTAATTGCAAACACATCGACTTCTAAATTAGGTGCTTAAAGTTGATTTTTCTTGTTAATTTGCGGAGACCCCCAACCTTTTTAAATAAGTACTTATTTCAAGCTTAAGAAGTTATTTTTTATTGCAAATTTTGAATTATTTTTTGTTGCAGGTAAGTGTTGATGTACCGGATGTTCGTGGAAGAACAGAGATTCTAAAGGTGCACGCTAGCAATAAAAAGTTCGAGACAGGTGTATCTCTCGAAGTAGTAGCTATGAGGACACCTGGCTTTAGTGGGGCCGATCTTGCTAATCTGTTGAACGAGGCTGCTATCCTTGCTGGAAGGCGGGGCAAGACTGCGATCTCCTCCAAAGAAATCGATGACTCGATCGATAGAATAGTTGCAGGAATGGAAGGAACCGTTATGACTGACGGCAAGAGCAAAAGTCTTGTGGCGTACCATGAAGTGGGCCACGCCATTTGTGGGTAAGCGTGTATTATATTGTAGTTAAATGAATTTAATTACGGGGTGAGAATTTTTTATTTAATAGTATGTTGTGACGTGGTGCATGCAGAACTCTAACGCCAGGTCACGATGCGGTTCAAAAGGTGACGCTAATTCCACGTGGTCAAGCGCGTGGTTTGACCTGGTTCATACCTGCGGATGATCCGACTTTGATATCGAAGCAGCAACTTTTCGCGAGAATTGTCGGTGGTCTAGGTGGAAGAGCCGCGGAGGAGATTATTTTCGGAGAGTCGGAAGTTACAACCGGTGCTACTGGTGATTTACAACAGATCACTGGTTTGGCCAAACAGGTATATTTTATTATGGGGAAAATACAGTTTTCAGCCCTCAAGTTTCCACCGATTTCATATTTGGTCCCCCATGTTCACAAAAAACACATTTAGTCCCTCATGTTTCAAGAATTCAACGTTTTTAGTCATTTCCGTCATTTTTCTGTTAAAACTACGGAATCAAGTGTGTACCGTTCACTGCCTTAACTGACAGACTAACGGTAAAGTAATGGAAATGACCGAAGTGTTCAAAATTATTGAAACACGAGGGACTAAATTTGTTTTTTTTTGTGAACACGAGGGACCAAATGTGGAATTGATGCAAATTTGAGGGATGTAAACTGTAATTTTCCCATTTTATTATCTTCAGCCTTCGTTCATTTCGCTACAATGATAAATTTATCAATTTATTTATTATTTTTCTTTGTTATTTTCTTACCGGCCTATTGTTAATGTGTGGTGCAGATGGTGGTTACTTTCGGCATGTCCGACATCGGTCCCTGGTCACTAATGGACTCGGCCGGTCAAGGTGGTGATGTCATCATGAGAATGATGGCACGTAATTCGATGTCGGAAAAGCTAGCCGAAGATATCGACTCTGCAGTGAAGAAGCTCTCGGACAGCGCATATGAGATTGCTTTGACCCACATTAGAAACAACCGTGAAGCAATCGATAAGATTGTTGAAGTACTTATCGAGAAGGAGACAATGTCCGGAGATGAATTCCGAGCTATTCTGTCTGAATTTGTTGAGATTCCAGTTGAAAATAGAGTTGCTCCGACACCCACTGCAGTTGCCGTGTAATGACAATTGGAAATTCGGCTTCTATTTATTATCAAATTTATCATATGTATAAAACTACTGCCGTGTTTTCCTTTGTGCCGATTCCCAGTCCCACAAGTATAGGTTCGCCTTTTGCGTGTATAATATAAACATCGGTATAGTGAATATCACTTCTTGCAATCATCGCAATTGTCGATTTTACGGATTGAGGTAGTTTTACTAAATAGAGGGACTTGACTTTACTAAACTAACTTAATTGAGTTAAAGAAACTTTTTCGAGCTCTATTGAACTGATAGTTACTCAACTGAGGCTCTCAATTTTTTTTTAATTTACTTTAATTCTTTTAATTACTTTACCTATTTTTTTGCTTATTTCACTAAGATTTTATCTTCTTTTATCAAGGTTTTACTAATTGTTTTATAGTTTCACATTATGTTTACTAATTAAAATGATGTTAGCACATTTGTTTTTATTATTACTTGATTTTTTCTTAATTTACTGATGTTATAGATTACTCATATGTTTGCTCTTTTTTCTTTAAGGATCGGGGTCATTGATTAATTGATGATATTGGGGTTAAACTAGGATTGGATGAATTTTTAGGGGTTTTTAGAAAGTTTTGAAATAATGCAAAGGTCTTACTCTTATTGCAATTTTCTCAAAGAAAATCCCAAATTCATCCTTAATTCAATTGTTGGCCGTTACTTGTTGACGATCAAACGGATAGAGAGACTCAATGTGTTACAATGTTGCAACATTAGAGTATATTTTGTTGACTACGATAAATGAGAGACTAAAAATAAAAAATATGTAAACATGGGACCAAAACTTTAATTATCCATCTATCCATTTAATCTATCCACTACAAATTTATTTAGGTAATATTTCCACAAAATATCTATTTGCATAATCTACCCACTTAAAATGTACCATTTTTTAGGGGAAAAACATAATTATATTAGTCACTCATGGCCAGAAATGGAGGGAGGGTCATACCCTCCAAAGAATTCAAATTTTCACGCGAAGCAATATCGTAAGCTAGTTTATTAGCATCACGCCTTACAAAAGAAAAGAAAATAAAAGAGAAGCGACAAGAGCGAGCTAAAACCGCCTCAATAATAGCACCGAATGAAGTAAGTGAAGAACCTCGGCCATTAAGCGCATCGATCACCGGGAGACAATCACCCTCAATAATAATGTTAGGCCATTGTTGGTTGGAATACCTACACGCAAGTGCACGTATCGTACAAGTAACAAAGTGGATTTTTAAGTTCAAGTATCGATCCCACAGAGAATATTTAACTATTTAATTCTAGAGGCTAAATCCTAGCAATTGTTATCAAGCCCACCCTACAAAGTCGAAAGATAAACAATTATACTAATATACTAAACTAAATTAAAGCAAATAAAAAGACAAAAGCAAGAAACAAATAAAAAAACGAAGATTAATCAGAGAAAGCAAGCCTATGATTTTATTCTTCCCCCTATGTGATTATTACTCCCTCAATTCCTTCAATTATGCAAGTAATTAACTCGGATTATTAACCTGAGATGTTAATTTAATCATAACCCGCTTCCGCGTGTATTACGATTCTAATACTCTTGATTCAATTACTGTATTCCTACGCAATTATTTTAGAACACAACATTAAGCACAAATCTCAATAATGGCTACTTAAGAGATTAACTATATTCATATGTTAATACCACAAAGGCTCTTGTACCACAATTCTAATTATTAACCCAATCTTCCTATTCATGCGATTAACAATAACATAAAAGCACATAAGGTAATAAAGTTCATGCACTTAATAAAACAAGTAGAAGAAATATCCGGAATTAAAAGTTGCATAAAATCGTAGAATTGGGTTCATAAATCCCAAATAGGGTTCAAAAATAAAATTCTAGGAATAAAGACTTAGCTACTCGTAGTTCTTATGATAAACAAAATAGAATTCATAAAATAAATAACAAGAACTATGCTTGAGTCTTCGATATTCGTTCTTCGCGTTTTGTGGTGTCAAATTTCGTGCTTATGGTGTAGAGACTTGTTGCTTTATAGATTTTTTTTGATAAGGAAGTAGTGGAAACCTAATAGGAATCAATTTCCGCCACTTTCCCCACCAGGATTTGTTCTTCGATTTTTGCCATGTTGGAGTCCGAATTTCGGAATGTTGCGTGAAATACGAATTGTAGCTCTAGCAATTAGCTTTCCAATGCCACCAAAATCAGCGGATTCGGAGTTCGTATGAGAAAGATATGATCGAAATGGTGGACACTGCCAAAGCTGTGGCGAGATTCCTTCTTCCAATTTGATTTATTTCCTTATTTGCAAATTTTTCCTTTCTTTTTGATCTTTTTATCTTCATGGACACCTAATTCTCGTTTTTCACCTATAAAACACAAAATCAATCAATTAAAGCACAAATATAATTAAATCTAAACAAAATATCCACGTAAAGTAAAGTGTAAAATCTACACTCAACAGCCATCCGAAGCTGGACGCCATAAGAGTAGCTTGCAAAACAGCCCGAGCTTCCCCCTCGGCAGGTAACACTCGGCCAAGATGCCGAAAATTCTGCCACCACACACTTTGACCTTGTGAATGTCTAGCAACCATAGATGTGTAATAGTGATTATTACCTCGCGGAAAAGCTGCGTCAACGTTAACTTTAATCACCCCTATTGGCGGTGGAGACCACAAGATGGCCTGGGACCGCTTGTCGACGACGCTACAACTCAAACGAGCTTCACTATATGATTACATGTACGTGCTAATCCATCCCACAATTTCCACAAACTCCCCATATTCATCACCATGCAACAGCTTATTCCGACGATCCCAAATGCTCTAAAGAACCACTGCAGCCAGGTAAAACGGCTCTACGGAAAGCTCTTGGGCCAATCTGCTCACCCAACTCCAAACCAAGGGATTCATGTCCCTAGTGGGTAGAGAAATTGGTAAATGTTCCCACACCTGCCTAACTCCATGACAGTGAAAGAAGATATATGGCAAGGAATCGGATTCTATTCCACAAATATCGCACAACGGGTCCGAGACAATCCTGCGCGAAACAATTCAACTTTACACGGTAAAGATTCCATGCATGCTATCCATAAGAATATCCGAACTTTTGGTGGCACGTCGAGTTTCCAAAGCCATTTCCAGTTATAAACTAAACTATAATCAATATAAGTCAACCATAAATTGAATGTTTTAGCTAAGCTCATATTTAAAAAGAAATATTGATACACCCCAACTCGTAATCCACAATTACGAATCTTAGATTCAATATATTGACATCCAACTACGCAAAGATTAACACATTAATCTATGCTTGTTGTTTTTCAAGGATCTATGTTACACGAGAAGTGTGACCCTCAATGGTTCAGGTGTAAGCTAGCCGTGGGCTCATAACTCTTTGTGATTCGAACAACACATTTTTCTTATATGAACTCCTCCCAAGAGTCCCGATTAGGGTAAAACTCATTTTACTCAATCGCCGATCAAATCGGTGCCCAACGAATCAAGATTGGCGTCTAGCAACTACGCATCATGATTCCCTAGATACAAATGAAGTGCCTGCAAGAACCTTGTGATATAGTTAACGTACAGTACGATCCCTTCGCAGCAAATGTCCCGATTGAACTAGAGGTATTGGTCCACCGAGACCTCTTATTAAGTTCAATAACCGTGCGAACGTTCTAGGTGTTATAATCCGTTCGTGTGTGACTTAGAGAAACACATTTCCCTAATCACCCCACTATCAACTCCGGCCGGAGATTCCATGGATTACAAACCGACAGAACACACAGGACATCCATGACTACTCAAGCGCTCGAATCCCCTACTACAATGCACAGACTTCACACTAGATTTCGGACTGCACGAACGTTGGCCCTTGTAGCGGTCCGCGGTGGGACTCAGGGACAGGTCACGATACAGTCGTTCCTCTAGTGAAGTCACGGTGATGTCTGGGTCTTAAGGACTAATGGTGCACAACTATATCATAGAAACCTATTACTCGATGATTGGGAAACACTTATAGATTTCTAGGCGAGGGAGTTCAGTGAACTCATCTAATATGAGCACCCACTCAAGTATGCCGATGTCACAACACCGATGACTGATGAGACGCAGTACACATACACTAAGTGCTAGTCTCAAAAGGGAAAGGCCGGTATCCTCATTATTGGCGTAACCCATCGACTAGGAACAAGGTTTAACAGTTACATTACATTGCTGAGTTATCTCACGATTCTACTAGATCAACTCACAGTAATAGAGTAACTCGTTAGGACTATATCTATGCTGCTTGCATGGGATAAGAGATATAGAATGCCAAAAGGTATTTTACCATTAATTTGAAATAGATTATTTACGAGTAGCGTGAGAAAACACAACACTTAGTTGGCTTATTGGTCACATACTCTAACAATCTCCCACTTGACCTAAAGCCAACTACTCATTACCTAAGTCCCATCGACTCTCGATGTTTCTCATGGACCGGTCTGTGTAAAGGCTAAGTAAAGGGATCTAGAATGTTGTCTACCGAGGCAACTCTCTCGAACTAAAGTTCGCCTCTACTAATTATCTTACTAATGAATTAATTTGTATTCAGTATCTGCTTGGATTTCTGATGAGATCTTTTGAATAAATACATTCAACATTTGAATGTAATTTCAAATCCAAACTGCTACGTTTGCGTCATCCAATGCCGCATTATTCTAAGCCCCGGAGGTGGAATCCGCCGTCATGTTCCATTTGGAACTCTTTCCAACACACGACACCCCGTTATGAAGCATGAATATAATCCCTCACGTCCTTTAAAGTTTTCCATTTCCGATTGAAACGCTAAAGTCGTCGAACGACTTTACTTTCAACTCGGAATCCCCACAGACTATATATGAACAAGTCCTTAGTACTTTGCAAGTATTCAAGGATTTCTTTCATATCTATCCAACTAACTTGGCTGGGGTTAGACTGAAATCTACAGTGACGCTTCACTGCATAAACCATATCAAGTCTATAATATGAATTAGGGTAGTTAAGCAACCTCTTCTATTTATCTCTATAAATACGTATCCTCTAATACGTAGGAAGCTTACCCTAAATTCATTCATTGAGAAACGTGTGGACAACCGTGTTTTAGTTGACTGCAACATTCCTACATCATTCCCAATGAGTAGAATGCCACCAAC